TTTTATTTTGTTTTTTTTTTTCTTTTTTTTTTTTTTTTTTTTTTTTTCTAACCAATAATACCCATTACATAATCTCCTCTAACATAGCAAATACTTCTAAACAATATACCCATTACATAATACTCCTCTAACATAAGCATACTCCCTAACAATAATACCCATTACATATAACTCCCTCTAACATAGCAAACCTAACAATAATTACCCCATTTACCATAATACTCCTCTAACATAGCAATACCTCTACAATAATCACCATGTACATAATACACCTCTAAACAATAGCAAATACTCTAACAATAAATACCCATTACATAATACTCCTCATAACATAGCAATACTCTAAAATATAACCCATTTACAATAATACCTCCTCTTAACATAGCAATACTCTAACAATAATAACCCATACATAAACTCCCTTAATAGCAATACTTCCTAAACAATAATACCCATGTACATAATACTCCTCTAAACATATCAACACTCTTCCCCTTGACATAACTTGACTTCCCATGGACCGAACTCCTCCCCCAAGACTTTTTTGACACTATCTCACCTGTTGAGAACAACGACACTTCTTCTTTGAGGCACGGCTCCTCCTCCTCCACATAAGCAAGCCTTCCATCAGACAACACTTCATCCCTTCCATCAGTCAACACATCAGCCTACCCCTGAGACCCTCCTCCGTCCAAGACTCCAACGATAATCCTCCTCTCCACAAGACTTCTTTGACACTATCTCTTGAAAGGCACCGCTCCTCCCATGATACGATACTCTCCTCCCATGAGACGATACTCCTCCTCCCATGCAGAGATACTTCTCCTCTCCATGGGACGATACTCCTCCTCCATGAAGACGATAACTCCTCCTCCCATGAGACGATACTCCTCCTCCATGAACGATCCTCCCTCCTCCCAGAGACTGATACTCCTCCTCCCATGAGAAACGATAACTCTCCTCCCATGAAACGATACTCCTCCTCCCATGAGAACGATACTCCCTCCCATGAGACGATACCTCCTCTCCCATGGATGCGATACTCCTCCTCCCATGAGACGAATACTCCTCCCTCCCGCATGAGACGAACTCCCCTCCTCCCAATGAAGACGAATACTCCTCCCCCAATGAGACGATTATCCCTCCTCCATGAGAACATACTCCTCCTCCCCATAGGGACAATACTCTTCCTCCCTATGAGACGCATACTCCTCCTCCATGAGAACGAATACTCCTCCCCCATGGACCGATCTTTCTCCTCCATAGACATACTGACCTCCTCCCATGAGACGATACTCCTCTCCATGAGACGATCTCTCCTCCATGGGACGTACCCCTCCTCCCATGAGACGGACTCTCCTCCTCCATGGATCGATACTCTCCTCCTACCTCCCTTCGAATTTTTTTATTTTATTTAGGATTTTATTTTAAGATTTTTATTTTAGGAAGGATTTTTTTTTAAATTCTTAGGAGGATTTTGTTTATTTTAAAGGAAAGAATATTTTTTTAAGGAGGATTTTTTTTATTTGGGAGGATTTTTTTAATATAGGAAGGATTTTTTCTATTCTGAGGATTTTTATTTTAGGGAGGATTTTTTAAGGAGGAATTTTTTTATTTAATGGAGGAATTTTTTATTTTAAGGAGGATTTTTATTAGGAGGAATTTTTTTATTTTAGGAGGATTTTTTTAATTTTAAGGAGCGAATTTTTTATTTAAGGAGTGATTTTTTTGATTTAGGAGATTTTTTTATTTTAGGAGGATTTTTAAGTTTAGGAGGAATTTTTATTTAAAGGAGGGATTTCTTGGGACGATAGTCCTCCCATCCTTCCTTGAGGTTTTTATTTAGGAAGATTTTCTTAATCTAGCAGGACTCTTTTTATTTAGGAGGTCCTTTAGTCCCTCCTACCCTTCCGGGGACAATAATCCCTTTCTTTCTTTCTTTCTTTCTTTCTTCTTTCTTTCCCTTTCTTTCTTCTTCTTTCTTTCTTTCCACTCCCTGTAATGCTTTCCTTTCTTTCTTTTATTGTCCTTAATCTTTTTTTCTTCCTATCAGGGACGATATTCGGGAGATTTGTTGCATCAAAAAGGGGGGATTTGTTCGTGTTGATAAGTTGTTGTTGTAGGTGTTACCCAACGTTCTCGTATTCAAGTCAAGCCAAGTCAAGCTGTTGCCTGTAAGTCGATGCTGTTAGCCTAAGTCCTCGTGTGTCCTGAAGTCTTGGGTTGTCTAAGTCAGTGTTAGTCTCTTGTGTGGGCCCTAGTCTTGGTGTCAAGTATTGTCTCTTGTTAAGTCTTTGTTCTTAGTCACTGTGCTGGGTCCATCACATGTCCATTGTTAGTGGTCGTGCTGTTGCCTAAGTCTTAGGTCTGCCTTGTGTTGTTCCTTAAGGATCACGTGTTGGTCTTGTATTCGCTAAGTTTAGTCCTGTCTAAGTCCTTGTATTCTCTAAGGTCAGGTGTTAGTCTCGTGTGGACTAAAGTCTTTTGGTTGGGTGTGTGTATATTATGCCCATTACATAATACTCCTCTAACATAGCAATACTCTAACAATAATACCCATTACATAGTACTCCTCTAACATAGCAATACTCTAACAATAATACCCATTACATAATACTCCTCTAACATAGCACTACTCTAACAATAATACCCATTACATAATACTCCTCTAACATATCAACACTCTTCCCTTGACATAACTTCCCATGACCAACTCCTCCCCTCCAAGACTTTTTGACACTTCTCCTTTGAGACAACGACACTTCTTCTTTGAGGCACCGCTCCTCCTCCTCCCATAAGACAACCCTTCCATCAGACAACACTCATCCTTCCATCAGACAACACTCAGCCTTCCCCTGAGACTCCTCCTCTCCAAGACTCCACGATAATCCTCCTCTCCAAGACTTCTTTGACACTTCTCCTTTGAGGCACCGCTCCTCCTCCTCCCATAAGACAACCCTTCCATCAGACAACACTCATCCTTCCATTAGACAACACTCACCCTTTCCCTGAGACGCTGGTCCCTCCTCCCATGAGAAGATACTCCTCCGCCCATGATGCTGGTCCTCCTTCCTTGAGACGATACTTTTCCTGGTCCTCCTCCCATGAGACGATACTCCTCCTCCCATGAGATGATACTCCTCCTCCCATGGGACGATACTCCTCCTCCCATGAGACGATACTCCTCCTCCCATGAGACGATACTCCTCCTCCCATGAGATGATACTCCTCCTCCTCCCATGAGATGATACTCCTCCTCCCATGGGACGATACTCCTCCTCCCATGGGACGATACTCCTCCTCCCATGAGACGATACTCCTCCTCCCATGAGACGATACTCCTCCTCCCATGAGACGATACTCCTCCTCCCATGGGATGATTATCCTCCTCCCATGAGACGATACTCCTCCTCCCATGGGACGATACACCTCCTCCCATGGGACGATTCTCCTCCTCCCATGAGACGATACTCCTCCTCCCATGGGACGATACACCTCCTCCCATGGGACGATTCTCCTCCTCCTCCTCCTCCCTCGAATTTTTTTATTTTATTTAGGATTTTATTTTAAGATTTTTTATTTTAGGAGGATTTATTTATTTAAGGAGGATTTTTTTTAAGAGGATTTTTATAAGGAGGATTTTTTTATTCTAGGAGGATTTTTTTATTTTAGGAGGATTTTTTAAGGAGGATTTTTTTTATTTGAGGAGGATTTTTTTATAAGGAGGATTTTTTTATTCTAGGAGGATTTTTTTATTTTAGGAGGATTTTTTTAAGGAGGATTTTTCTTATTTAAGGAGGATTTTTTTTATTTTAGGAGGATTTTTTTTATTTTAGGAGGATTTTTTTATAAGGAGGATATTTTTATTTTAGGAGGATTTTTTTATTTTAGGAGGATTTTTTTATTTTAGGAGGATTTTTTATTTTAGGAGGATTTTTTATTTTAGGAGGATTTTTTATTTAAGGAGGATTTCTTGGGACGATAGTCCTCCTCCTTCCTTGAGATTTTAGGAAGATTTTCTTATTCTAGGAGGACTTTTTTATTTTAGGAGGGTCTTTAGTCCTCCTCCCTTTCCGGGACAATATCCTTTCTTTCTTTCTTTCTTTCTTTCTTTCTTTCCGGGACGATATCGGGAGATTTGTTGCTATCAAAAGGGAGATTTGTCGTGTTGAAAGTTGTTTGTTGTCGTGTGTTATCCAAGTCTCGTGTTCAAGTCAAGCCAAGTCAAGCTGTTGCCTAAGTCTGCTGTTGCCTAAGTCTCGTGTTGTCTAAGTCTTGTGTTGTCTAAGTCAGGTGTTAGTCTTGTGTGGCCTAAGTCTTGGTCTGTCTAAGTATTGTCTCTTGTTAGTCTTTGTCTTAGTCTTGTGCTGTCCAAGTCATGTTAGTCTGCTGTTGCCTAAGTCTTGGTCTGTCTTGTGTTGTCTAAGTCACGTGTTGGTCTTGTATTGCCTAAGTCTTAGTCTGTCTAAGTCTTGTATTGTCTAGGTCAGGTGTTAGTCTCGTGTGGCCTAAGTCTTGGTCTGTCTAAGTATTATGTTGTCTAAGTCTCTTGTTAGTCTTTTTCTGTCTAAGTCTCTTGTTAGTCTTTGTCTGTCTAAGTCTTGTGCTGTTCAAGTCATGTTAGTCTGCTGTTGCCTAAGTCTTGGTCTGTCTTGTGATGTCTAAGTCACGTGTTGGTCTTGTATTGCCTAAGTCTTGGTCTGTCTAAGTATTATGTTGTCTAAGTCTCTTGTTAGTCTTTTTCTGTCTAAGTCTCTTGTTAGTCTTTGTCTGTCTAAGTCTTGTGCTGTTCAAGTCATGTTAGTCTGCTGTTGCCTAAGTCTTGGTCTGTCTTGTGATGTCTAAGTCACGTGTTGGTCTTGTATTGCCTAAGTCTTGGTCTGTCTAAGTCTTGTGTTGTCTAAGTCATGTGTTAGTCTTGTGTGGCCCAAGTCTTTGTCTGTCTAAGTCTTGTGTTGTGTGTTAGTACGAGAGGGAGACACAAAAAACAGAGACTTAAATGATAACAGATAACAAAACAATTTATTGATAACAGCAATAAAATATATAATTGGGCTCAGTGAACAACTCTTTAGAAGAACGTGATATAATTATGAGATGTCCTTATCTTAGTTTAAACTTTACGCAAATAACATGTGCCTGAAATGCTGTTCGTGGTTCTTGGTCCTGCTCTGGATGTAGTGGTCTCGCTGGTCTGGATGTAGTCGTCTGGAAAAATCGGTGTTTCGCTTTTGCTTTTGCTCCTTTTTCTTTGCAAAACGGCAGTCGTCTGGAAAATCGCTTAGTGGTCTGGATGTAGTGGTGTTTCGCTTTTGCTGCTCCTTTTTCTTTGCAAAACGGCAGAGTGGACCAAAACGTCTTTCTGCTTCTTCAAAGTCCTCTTCAAAGTCGTCAAAGACCTAAAAAAATAAGAGGACCTCCTCAGTTCCCTGTCAATCTTGTTGTCATCATTGTCACCATGTCACAATCTGAAAAATACTAAAAGAAAGAAACAACCAACAACAAGCAAACAATGAAAAGAAAGAAAAAAGCGTGGCTGCGCAGCGACCGCTGACCTTTTGGGCTAGCAGCCGCTGCGCAAAATTTGGCCCCACCCTCCCCCCGTCGCACGTGGGCCGCCACTCACAGCCACAGCTGCCGTCTCGCCTCCGAGCTCCCCGGCCCTGGCCCCGCCCCATCCCCCCTGCGGACCGGGGGATGGGGTGGGGCCAGGACCGGGGAGCTGGGAGGCTAGGCTCGCACTTGCGGCCGACTGTTGTAGTTGCACACGATTGAAGAGGAAACTGTTTTACTCCGGTTGAATCACGCCGTGTGACCCAAGCCGGGAAAACAGTTTCCTACTAACCCGAACCAACCAGTTCAGGTTAGTGGGGTTTCCCGAAATGGCGCCGCGACGCATACTTACCTGCCCCCCTCTGAAAAAAAGCAGGAAATCCAATTTAGAAAGGAAGAAAAAAAGGCATACTTACGCACCTTAAAGCCTTCTCTGGGCATGTTTTTGAAACTGGCTAGCGATTTGAAAGGTTTCCGTCGGGTTAACGATTCTTTGCTTTTCTACATGTGGACCACGGTTCATGATGATGAATTTCTGAAAGTGGAAAGTGATGTGGGTGAGACTTTGGCACGCATAGCAGCATTTTAAATTTCGAAGCGGACAACACGCAAGGTGACCATTATCAATCTATTTATTTTTTATATTTTATCTATATATACATTACTTTTATTTATATTTATTTAGAATTTTGAACTGCATTTAAAACCTTGCGAAATTCCGCTCACGAATATCAGCCCAAGTCAAAGAGACAAATAAAGAAATAACGAGAGACATACCAACAGAAAAAAATTTTATAGTCAACAATCAAATAATTTTCTAACCTAGTTTCTAAATGACTTTAGCCTTTTGGCTGTTAAGTCTTAATGAAATTATGCAGAAAACATTTGGCATCATCTTCGTTTGATTGACTGAGTTGCTTCTTCGTCGTATTTGCTCTTCTTTTCGCCAACATCTAAATTATAACACAGAAAATCAGCCATAAAGAAGAGGAGTGTAAGGCTATCAGCAATCAAGAGTGAATTGAAATTGAAAAAAGTAATTTTCAAAAGGAACAAAAGTTCGTACAACAAATAAAACAATAATTGTGTATCTACAATTTAACTTTTTGTGTTAAGATAGGCAAAACGATGGAATTTAGAAAAGTTGCAACTATATTCTACACTTGAATGTTTATAGAATCCTTGGAAATTGTAAAGTCGCATGGATTTTGAAATTTTTGCTGTTTTACGTAACACAATGAATGGTCATCTAGAGGCTTGTCTTTTGATTCGTTATATTGGCAAAAGTTGAACGAAATATCTGAACCTCCTAAGAAAAGTTTGCAAAAAGGAGCTTTTTCATAAAATAATTTGATAAACCAAGAAGAAGGCAATTTTCTTAACAGGTTTTATCCAATGAGATTTCATTTCATAAAATTGCAGACTGTAATCAATTTATACTGATAATTTGGTGTTTAAATCCAGTGTGATTATACCAAAGTTAATAATATCAAATTTGATAAATAATAACATTGTCAAAAAGAATATTTCAAATAGAAAGCAAAATGAAAAATGATTTTTCTTATCATTGCCTGTTGATGGCTCTCTCGACCTAGGTTGCATTACTTCTTTCAATCATTTTTGTAGTTATTTCTTTTCGTGTATTGGTCTTTCATTTTATTGCATTTTGTGGTATCCAGTAATTAAATCTCAACATATCACATTGCATTTGTATCTAAAGCATGATAAAGAATATACACTTTCCTCAAAAAAGTATTCGAATGGTCTAGCAAAATTATTGGCCTAATATTCATTTGCGTCAAGAAAGTGAAAAATTGTTATTAAATTTTTATCAGATAAATAAATTATTATATTGAATGAAACAAAAGCCTCAGCTATTTACGAAACAAACAAACATATTTTAAATTCTGTTCTATGGAAACTTACTGGGGAAATCTTTTTCAAAAGTGGAAAAAATTGCAATGGTAAAAAATTCTTTTTGCAAGGGTTAAAACACGGAAGAAGCAGTGCAAATCGTCACAAAGTTTTACACTAGATAGGTCATTCATTTTTGTAATTGGCAAAGCAAGTGATATGATCAATTCTACTGTCCATTAACAAAAGCAGCTTAAATTTGAAAATATTTTTCAAAAAGGGTTTCAATAGTCCGGGGGTAGTATTAGGAGTAATGACGTCATCGTCTTTTTCTTCTTTAGCATTCTGTCAATGTCTTATATTAAATTGCCATCCTTTGAAAAAATCTTATTAATAGTGCCAGATTTAATAGACAAGATAATGCTCCATGTCATATGACTATAATAGTTCTAAGTGATCTTTTTGCTGCCAATAGAATCATAACTTATCTAGGATCTTCTCAAAGATCTGAATGTAATTGAAAATCCTATGGCTTCTTTGGCTTTCTAAGAAATTTAAAAAAGTCGAGATCCTCCAAAATCGCAGCTACAATTAATTTCTAAATAATATTTGTACTGTTCAATTCTTTGTTGGCTCTGTGTTGCCCATTTGTATCATGGAACATTGACAGTTTAGTTATAATGAAATCATGGAGGGACTTGAATTTAGAAATTCAGAAAATTATGCTCTATTTTATAATTGGCTGAAATTCCGACCTGTTTCCTATGTTCATTCTTAAAATATAATTTATCACTTTTTCTTTTGCTTTAATTACTTGACCAAGTACTGACACAACATTGGCTTCTGTTCAAATACTTTTTGAAGAAAAGTGTATATCTAAAAAGACAAAATAAATATCTGTACCTTTGTATGTTTTGCTGGTGACTTTCACAAACAACAGTTGATTGTTTCTAGACAAGCAGCGTGTTATTCTGTAAATAGAGTAAACATTCATCAACAAAAAGGAATAACATAAAGAATAACATCAGAAATAACATTGGAGTATCATGAAAATTAGGAAAATTTGCAAAGCAAGTGATCTGATCAATTCTACTGTCCATTAACAAAAAACAGCTTAAATTTGAATATATTTTTCAAAAAGGGTTTTAATAGTCCGGGGGTAGTATTAGGCCTAATGACGTCATCGTCTTTTTCTTCTTTAGCATTCTGTCAATGTCTTATATTAAATTGCCATCCTTTGAAAAAATCTTTTTAATAGTGCCAGATTTAATAGACAAGATAATGCTCCATGTCATATGACTATAATAGTTCTAAGTGATCTTTTTGCTGCCAATAGAATCATAACTCATCTAGGATCTTCTCAAAGATCTGAATGTAATTGAAAATCCTATGGCTTCTTTGGCTTTCTGAGAAAATTTAAAAAAGTCGAGATCCTCCAAAATCGCAGCTACAATTAATTTCTAAATAATATTTGTACTGTTCAATTCTTTGTTGACTCTGTGTTGCCTATTTGTATCATGGAACATTGACAGTTTAGTTATAATGAAATCATGGAGGGACTTTTAGAAATTTAGAAATTCAGAAAATTATGCTCTGTTTTATGATTGGCTGAAATTCCGACCTGTTTCCTATGTTCATTCTTAAAATATAATTTATCACTTTTTCTTTTGCTTTAATTACTTGACCAAGTACTGACACAACATTGGCTTCTGTTCGAATACTTTTTGAAGAAAAGATATATCTAAAAAGACAAAATAAATATCTGTACCTTTGTATGTTTTGCTGGTGACTTTCACAAACAACAGTTGATTGTTTCTAGACAAGCAGCGTGTTATTCTGTAAATAAAGTAAACATTCATCAACGAAAAGGAAAGGCCAGATATAACATAAAGAAAAACATCAGAAATAACATTTGAGTATCATGAAAATCAGGAAAATTAGGACAGTGGTTACGAACAAATGAGAAACAATTTAAATGTTATAATTATAATGGCAGAAAAAATTTAGAAATTGTCTTCAATGCATTAACTGAATATCACTTCATGCAAGTCTTTTCTTAAGGAATTAGAACATTAAAACTTAAATTCATTATTATTTAGTGCAAGAGGAATATTAAACTGGCTCTTTTAAAAAGAAATATATAGGTCGAAATAGTATGATGAAGAGATAAAAATAAAAGTTACACCATCTAAGAAAATATATCATTAAAATTCCTGGAGTGAAAGTACCCAGTAGCAAAGCTTTTTTACATGCAGGCTATTTTTTTCCTTTTAAAATGATTATCGTTTCTAACATTAATCAGTTATAAAACTTTTCACTGTGTGGAAGAAACATTTTGGAGATGAATTGGCAAAGTTTCATTTTTATGAGAAGATGTATATGTTACATATTCAAAAATATAAAAAAACATTTCTACCTTTGTCCTTCTTGCAGTTGTATTTCATAAAAAGTAGATTGTTTATTGACATCAAGCAGTTTACCCTGTCATAAAAATGTAGAAATGTCATAAAAACCAAAAAGACTGATTTAAATCTGGATAAAGACCAGAAAAGACCAATTAATCATTTTAGCTTGTCTTCATAAAGACATTTTAATGTAATACTGATGAGATGACTATGGAAATATAATTAAAGTAAAAAAAATCTTCAAGTAATTCAACAAAACAGAACATTATCTTGAAGTTGCCAGACTACACTGCAAATTGAGTTTATTACATTTCTCAAATCTGCCCAATAAATCTCAAGATGAGAATTTGCACTACATTCCTAAACTCTTGTCTTGATAAGATGAGGAACAATATCTTAAAAATTTAAGAAAAAGCAAGTGTCTACGAACCTTGATGGCACCTTGTTCATTAATTTCTAAGACATCTCAAACTCTAGCCCTCAAATTAAAAAAATATATAAAATATTAGTACATTTGCCAAACTGTGAAGCTATCAATCATGGATAAATTTAAAACTGAAGGGGTGGCCTTAAAAGGAAACAGACAACAGTAAATATATTTTTCTTGTATGATCTATGATTACTTAGTCTTTCTTTATCTCAAATAAAGAAGTATGAAATGCTACAATATATAAGTAATTCAACCTCTGATATGTAAAAAGCACTCAAATATTTTATGAAAAACAATGCTCCCATTTTAAAGATGCATCAGACATAAATTAATAGCCGACTTACAACTGAAAATATATCCTTATTTAATGTTAATTAAAGACCTTCAACAAGGAACATTAAATTTTATCAAAATGAAGTTTGACAACTTGAACAAATAATTGTCTCAAAAACAGGTTCATGGAAGAAAATTCAGTGAAAGTTTGGATCAAATGTACTCAGTAAATATACCAAGGAATATTTACAAACCTTAGTAACATCTTGCTCATGGGACTTCACAAAACTTGACATAATGATCTTGAAACAAAAAAGAAATGAAAGAAAGTTATTTCCAGACTCAAAAATCTGCAGAAACCTGGTACAAAAATGTACATTTCTTATTATTTTCATCACCAGGAAAATAAATTGGAGTGCAGCATCAAAAATAAACATATCCTTGCTCTAATTCAATTAAAGATCTTTCAAAATAAACATCAAATTCTGGAGTAGCAGTATCGTCAAGTCCTGCTTTCTTGAACCTCGCAAGGAAAATGAAAAATTGTTTGACATAGCAGGACTATGAGATATCCAGACACCAAATTTTGAGGATCAAAAAGAGGTCATCTGTGTTTAAAATTTGAATATGAACCAAAGAAAAGAGCTCATTTTTCTCCAAAACTTTGTTAAATATCAAACTGAACTAAAATAGTCTATTAATTACTTGCTTTGTTTGAGATAGGGAATAGTGCGAGATAAGTGAGTTTGAGATAATCTGTTTTATTTCTATACCAAGCCCCACGAGGGTAAGAGGGAATCAGCTCAAGATGGATAATTTCTTGAGATAACAGAGTTCGAGATAGCAGGATTTGACTGTTTATATAATGTGTTGTAGATATGTAGAATCATGTGCTTTAAATTAAACTAAGTGAGATATTTTATTATATATCAGACATATGAAGGGGATATTACAGACCTTGCCGATCTCCAGCTCACAAGAATTCATAGCACTTGACATGTTGAACTTGAAAAAAACAAATAAAAAGTTATTTCCAAGCCAAAAATTTGGAGAAACACAATACAAAAAATGCAAACTTCTCATTATATGCATCACCAGAATAGAAAGTTGTAGTGGGATATTGGAAATTAACACCCATATGCAATGCACTAATAATAAAAGTTCTTTCAAAAATAAACATCTATTTCTGGGCTAGTGGAGATTTCAACTTGAAGAATGATGGTTGCAACAACATACAAATATAGAAAATAAATAAAATGAGAAAAGAAAAAGTAAGTTAAAAAGCTAGACATAGGAAGAGAATTTACAAACCTTGCAGACTTCTTGCCGATGTTAGCCTTTAGGGCATTTTACATGCTTGCCTTAAAATTAAAATAAAAGTTATTCATGTATTTGCCAAAACTGTAAATATATCAAACAAAGATATTAGGGATTTAAAGCTGAAAAAGTGGTTTTAAAAGGAAGAAACAAAAAGAAATAGATCAATTGTATTACATATATTTGTTTATTGTATAAATAGATACATAATATTCTATTTCTTATGAGCTTTCATTGACATTATCTCACAGTCTTTAACAAATGAGTATTCGAGTAGAGTATTCTTCAAACATATCATTTTTAATTTATAGAAATTAAACATAGATGAAATATAAAATGAAGTACAATTATAAAGTATAAAGAATTAAAAATGGATAACATTGAAAATAAAAAACAGAACAAAATAAAATGCAAATAAATTGCCTAAAATATGGCTTGCAGAATGCAAATTAGCTAGAAAATTTTATTTAATTTTGTCTTTTTTCGTCTAATTTTGTTAAATTAGCTAGAAAACTTAGAAGATTTGTCTTTATTTGCAACTTAAAGGCAGTCTATCCCCTATTGTGCTCAACTTTATCTTCACAGGAATGAAAATTCATGCACCGTTGAGCTTGATCGATAATTAAATGATTTAAACCAATCAGAGACAACTTTGATTCCAGAGCTTTTGAATCAAATGGCTGTGTTCCCGTTGTAGTGAAGCTGTGGTTAGAAAAATATGGCTCCCTGTTTGGTTTGTGCGACAGATATGTCAACAGAGAAACAAAATGCTTCCACTATCATCATTTAATTCCAGCAATTAAATCTTCTTGCCACTACCGATAGCTTTTCGCTTGCAGTTTCATGTGTCGTCCACTACTGCAGCTAGGCAAGCCAAAGCAAGCATCGTAATCAGTTATCCGTTGAGGCAGGAAGACCTATTGTTCATATTAGCCAATAAATACCCATATGCAATAGTAATATAAGGATTTAAAAAATATAATTCTGGCTCAGTGGAGTTTTGAACTTTGAGAATGATTGTCTCAACAACAACATGAATATAGAAAAATTAGTTAAAAATGCTAGACAAAAGAATAAAGTTTACAAACCTTGCAGTGAGAGATATGTTGCTGCCAATGGTAACATTGAGGGCCTCAAAATTAAAATGAAATTAAAATTATTGGCCAAAACAGCAAAGATATCAAACAAAGATATCAAAGATTTATTTCAGATTTATTTAGAGCTTTAAATATATCATAAATTAATATCTTAATATCTATATATAAATGTGATTATCTCAGCTTGCTTAAAAATATTAAAAATTTGCTCTATGTTTTGTTTTCCTGCTTGTCTGAAAGGGTTTGCTTGAGAGAAAGGTAACTTATGAGCTTTGATTGACATTCTCTCTTAGTCTTGAACAAATCATGTCAATGACAACAAATGAAAGGGCAAATAGAGTTTTCTTCAAACTTTTATTTTAATTGACAGAAATCAAGTATAAAATTAAGTAGAAAATAAAATATTCTTATGAAGTATAAAATAATGAAAAAATGGATTAAAAATTGAGAATAGATCTCACTAAAACTGACTCCAAACGAATTGCTTCAAATAAAGCTTGCAGAATGTAAAGTAACTAAAAACACTAAACATTTATCTTTATTTGCAACTAAAGTTTTCAATAGCAAGAACATAAATTATATTGAAAAAGTCTAAAAATCTTTAAAAATGGATGTCCAATTTAAAATTCTAAAAATTATGAAATAAAACATACCAATTAGCTTTTCTTTAACCTTTAACTGACACCAAAGAGTCATCTGGGAAAATTTAAAAAAGAAAAGATCAAGTTTCGAGTAGACAGGAATCTGGAAAAATGGAAACAAAACTACGAGAATTGAATTGAGAGTTGAAAGAGCTTTTAGGGTAAATTAAGTAATGTGAATCTCATGTTGAATTATAAAATTAAACTAATGAATATTTTGTTGTGCCATTTTCAACTTTATAAATATAATAGACTGCTTACATAATATAAATACAAAATTCCATGCATATCAAAATGACATGATCATGAAGCAAAATGACAGTGAATGTTTGAAATGAAATGTTTTATCCAGTATGCCAATAGAGTATTTTTGAAAAAAAAACTTGCTTTTTTGGCTATGAGCTTAAGCATTCGTTAAAAAACATGTCTTTGATAAACTGGAGACAGAAATTCATCTGAAAATTAATCTGAATACAAAACTAAAAATCACCAAACAACAATTGACCTGATATGTTATTAATCTGCACATGCCCTTTCTGGCAGCTTATAAATATATTAAACAATTTCAGCGTCAGTTAACATAATATAAAGACAAGGCGATCAAGTGATTTTCTTTTCACAATTTGTAATTCACAATTCAGTTTCCTCTCATAAAATAAGCATTCCATTTCTTACTTCTTTTTTATATCAGTGCAGTTTAATTTGTAGTAATTTAATGTAACTACTTAAAGCAAAGTGCTCAAATTTATTGGGCCTATATAAAGAATGTCATCTGGTCTTATTTTTGTGTAAAGGACAGATGAAAACCATATTTTAATGTCCAAAAAAGTATTGATGAGCTTTGAACACAAAAAAGGTCAAATTGAAAAATGAAAGTAAATTTGATGTCAGGCTGTCTATTAACACAAACAGCTTCTTGTGGCCTCCGTCTGGAAGGTTTATTGAAAGAAATTTGAAACACCGCAAAACGACATTACTTCTTTATAAATAAACTTCAAATCAATCCAGTAAACATTAACCCTATTTAAAGGAGTAAAAAACCAAAAATTCATACCTGCATTTTTCAACAGCCACGCTTCAGGTCGCAGCCAAGCAGCCGCTTCAACTTCATTTGTCGATGTTCTGTTCTCGCTCCATTATCCTTAAAATGAGGAAAAATGCACTTTAATCAATATTGCACTGCGAATTTCTATTTCTCTTTCTTTAAAGAAGTATTTCTTGAACGAACATATAGTGAACAAAAATCTTTGTAAACAACAAATTGAGAGCAGAAACAAAAAAACAGGTTAGGTACTCCATTTAGCCAGTTGTCACGATGTTAGCATTTTATGAAATTCCAAACTATCACTTTAATCGAATGCAAAAGTATCCAAGAAAGATTGAATCACGAATTTTCAAAGTGTCATGCTAAGTTTGAAAAGAAATAAATTTTTACTTATGGACTGTTCTTCATTCAGGAGAAGTGTTCGTCAAAAGCTGAAACATAAAGGCGAACACTTCCATACATTCGCTTTCGATGTATACTTGAATAACGAAGAAAACGGACGAGGAAAAGGAACGAAGAATCCGATACGATAGATTAGTTTTGAAAATTGAAAGCATGTAGCAACAATAACGGAGCAGAATCACAGTTTTGTATTGGAATAGTTTCGCCTGCTTCATTTCGAATAACATGACAACCTAATAATTGTGAATGGCATTATCAATTAACATTAGAGATACTCTTAAATCTTGTACTTGACAAAAAGGTCTTACCTAGGCTTACATGTCGTTGTAGGCCAAGATGAAGACAGGAGTGTTTTGCACCAACACCTCATCTTCGACACTATTGTGCCAACTAATTGAATAGAAAAGAAACCAGGTATTTATAAGCATATGCAAATTTGGACTAGATTCCCGCCAATTTCTGAAACAAAGGTCTCCCGTGCATCCAACAGCCATTCCCGCAAGAATGCATTCAAATTTCCCGCCAATGATGATCTCCTTCACAGCTGCTCGATGCCCAAGAGCTGCAGCGCATTTTCAAAGACAGCAGCCTTACTAGAGGTTATTTACTAGGGGTGTTTGCTGAAGATTTCGCGTAGATTAGCTAATGTTCTAAATGTGATTTTCAGATTGATGTGGAACTATGAGATTTCTTGAGTTTTCAGGCTTTGTTTGTGGGGTCCAAAGAACGGGTGTACACAAATTCCACATTTGGGAATTTTCTAAGGACGTTGCATGATTATATTCCCTGGACCCACGTTTTTCTTATAGTTGCCCAAGCCCTGATTTATCATGTTGTGCCAAGAAATCCCTTAGGAGTCCATCTATTGTTTTATATCTGCACTGACAAGAATAAAGAATCACTTTATCATGCTTTACATCATTTGTTTCAAGCTAGGCCATAAAATTTGCTAAACCCTGTGGAATTCTTTGAATATCCAATTTTGCAACCTTTGTTTTTGCTATGCCATCGTTTCATTACATAACATAACATAACATAACATAACATAACATAACATAACATAACATAACATAACATAACATAACATAACATAACATAACATAACATAACATAACATAACATAACATAACATAACATAACAAAAGCTGTAATGTAGGTTATAAGCCTGTTACAGTTCAATTTAAATTTTTTGTTGTTGGTAAGGGATGCTCCTGAAAAACATGCAAGTTAAAACAAGGTTGTTAATCAAGGTTGTAAAAGAAGTCTTCCATTGCTTCTTCAATCTGATAAACTACGAATGATCAATTTTTTATACCAACGAAAATTTAAAATACATAACTACGAAACTACAGTTCGTTAACGATACCATAGAGGGCATTAAATTTCATAACAGTCCTGTGGCAATTCACAATTAACTCAAAGTCTATTCCAAAAATGATTCCAACCGAGACCCCTATGGAGGGTAAATTTATACCAAGTGGAAACCCAGGTTTTGGATGATGGCAAAACACAAATTTTCTTATATATCTGACTTCTTGCAAATTAAAACATCAAATTGGCACAAGTAAATATTTCTAATAAGTTCGTCAATACGAGGATTTTCTAGGTTTCTGTTAAGCAATGGGATATTAAAAATTAGCATGACACTAAAAAAGAATAGGGAGAAGTATATGAAAATTATTCAAATCACAAGACTGTTCAAAAGAAGGAGAGTCGATTTTCAATGTTTCGTAATTCTTTGTGTGCAGCAAAAAAAAAATATCTTTGAAAGAAAAGTTTGAAAACACTTTCAGAATGCTTAGAATAATTGCTTCCCTAAAACAAGCCAAATTTCGAAAAGCTAGCGAGCCCTTGAAAAGAGATCTGGGCTACAGGCCTAAGCCTTGAACAACAGTCCGTTCAAATCTTGCTCAAAGAACAACGGTCTTAAATAAAACCGAAGTCCGTGCGCATAAATTTTGCTCTGTTTAATAATCTAGACATTTAGGTTACATGTTATTTCTGGAACGAACTTTATCATTTTAAAAGAATTGATAGCGACAGCTGTAATCAATAAAGCTTTTTGCAGGCCTTTTTTGTTTTGAAGTTCAGTCCCTGAAATTAGTATCCCTTTTTAAGTGACAAGCCCCGCAGTCTAAAAATGTCACTAAACTAAATTTCGTCTTCTGGTTTACTCAAGTTATAATCTACAAAATTTTAATTAGGTTCCGCCTCTAGATTTAGATTTCAGAGTACCTTTCATCAGAGGGGGGAATTAATTTTTCAGAGGGGTGGGGGGAGGCAAAATCTCACAAAACAAGCAAATTTGCCGACAAATGACAAAATTTACCGAAAGAGTGCCAAAAACTGTGTTTAAACCGACAGTTTAGCAAAATGTGGGGCTCTTTGTAAAAAACGACAACTTAGTAAAATCAGGGAAAATCTCGTGAGATAAATTAATATATAAATATCTTAAGAAATAAAACAATGAATGTTTTCAGCGAACCATCAAAGCCATCTTCAAAGCCCCAACTATAAATCCATAGGCCAGCAGTGTATCTTTTAACTAAGATGTGATCAAGGAACGCTCATTTATTTGGCAATTTTATCCGGAACTATTAATATAGATTAAAAGATTAGACTAATACGCTTTCATGTCTTTTAGATAATTACTTTTATGAGATTAATTTTTAACTGTAAATTTACGGCATAGGGCACGGAAGACACATTAAAAACAGCAGTCTCGTTGAAGTGTAAATCTTGTCTAAGTATTCGTTTTATTATTACATAAAATACGGTAACACTAAAGGAACTAGGTCTCGGGAGAGGAACGTCCATCAAATGGGCCTATGGCGAAAAGCATTCGTCAACACGGGGGGGGGGGGTCTAGATAAGAATGTTCTTCAAAATAGGCCTTTGGGAAAGAGGATTTGTCAAATTGGCCAACTGTAGAGAAACTTCTGTCAAATTGGGCCACTGTAGAGGATAGTCTACAATGACGAAAATTAACTGCTTCAAAATTGGACACTGATATTCTACCGAAAATTAACTGCTTTAAAATTGGACACTGGGATTCCGTTGTAGAATTAATGATGATAAAGATTATATTTACAAGAATAATCATACAATATCTTTACCTTGAATCCAAAAGAAGTCTTTTGAGATGACTGCTTCACCAGATCAAGAAATCTCTGAATGTCCTTGTACTCTATCGGTTCGCTCCTCAAGTGCTCAAGGATGGTCATCACCATTATCTTCGAAAAAAGTCTACTGCGTTATCAGACTGCAGCCATTCGAAAAACCAAGCAGCTTCTGAATTTTGAATGTGTTCAAATGAACTTTCTAAGCAACTTCCGGTCTAAGCATGCATAATCGACTTACTGTAAAAAGAAGAAAGATCGTTTGTTAATAGAATGGCCACGAAAATGGCGATTGAGAAAATTCTTAGAGAATAGCATAGATATTGGGACACTCGAACTTATCGACTAATACCCAAGAACATTAAAAGATGGTGAACAAAACAGAACAGCATACAAAATAAAGATGAAAAAACAACACTAAAAGGAGCAGGTTAAAAAAGTAGCACGTGTTAGAAAACAGAAAGGCAAAATCAATCACTTTTAGAGTGTTTCTATTTCTCTTCCTGAGCTTTTTGCTGTCTAAAATATTTTAACAGTCTTAAATCATATTTAATCGGGCCTTTTGGTTGACATCTCTTCTTGCTCGGTCACTGAAAGCTATATTAACACGCCCATTGCTCTCAGGATATCAGAGATATGATCCCTGGCCCCTTTGAGACATGTACGTAATACCAGATACTCTTCTAGCGTTCACCCTTTCCAAGTCTCCTTGCCCAACGCACGAACTCAATCCCACAACTCTTTCCTTCCTCCCTAGATCTTGTAAACTTTGGAATACTTTACCCCCTTCCTGCTTTCCAGACTCTTACAACCTGTCTTCATTCAAAACAAAAATATAGAAGCCTGATCGTTTCTCTCTCTCTCTTCCTAATCCCTCCTCCCTTTTCCTTGTTAGCGCTTAGTTCTTGAGCATTGAACATCTGTCTTGCGTTATGTATCTAGTTACGTTGTGTTAAGGAATACAGAATATCACGGTTATATTCGAAAAAAGGATTAACAAGGCTAAGTCGGAGGCTTTCTCCAAAGATAACTTTAAGATCAATTTGGATTCTTCTTTCTTCTGGTCATCTTCCTATGATATTTTAGGGGTATATTTAGTGGACATTTCCCCCGATTGATTTTGCCTTTTAGCAGAGCGTTGATTTTTGCAATCAGCTTGGAAAAAAAGTAAATACTTGCTCCAACTGAACCAGTCCTGGAACAAATACCTATATTTTTTAAATGATTAACAAAACCAAAATTAAGGTCTACAAAGAGTCTAATAGCAAATCACTATTTCTACAGAAAGATCTCAGTATTTATCACTATTTCATACAAGTAAGCTGCAAGTATCAGTAAACTTTGAACAACATTGACAAGTTGTGAACTGTCCATCTATTTAAGAATGTGTCGACTGCTTGTGAAGAGAGCCTTATTTATAAATTGCTGATATCATCCTTATCCACTGTCAGTTAAAAGCGACTCTTCATATGCAAAAACAACACTCCAATGTTGCGATTCTTACTTTACTGCCAATGAAAATACAGGTGATAACAAACTTCCTCAAGGTTTCTAACAAATGCAAACAGCCAATACACATCAGGTTAATGAAAAATCTCATCTTTTGAAGTAACAGTGGGTTACGGTTGAAATGAACAAAAACACAAACCATTATTATTACCATTTCAAAACGAAAATCAATAATCCTTCTAACAAACTTTAACGAAGAAGAAAGAAAATTGACAATATACGATCGCATTACAACATGCTATCAAATAACTTTTAAATGCATTGCTCATACCGTTCTTTCGTCTTCAACTAATCCCTAAACGTACTTGGGTAGAATTCTTTCATGATGGAAGGGGTTATTTGTATGATGCAATTCTTCATCACCTTTCTTCCTGAAAGTTTAGATCCTTTGCAAGCGAATTCATTATCCTGAAAACGTTTTACAGAATGTTCAACTTTTTATCTTTGCCTTGTTTCTCCACCATCTTTTCTTGCACAGAAACACAAGAATCAAAAACGTTTTTTCACAAACTCTGTCAAGTCCATCAGAGAGAAAACTTATCTTGTTTCACTGCTCTCACCACATCTGATTTGCACAGATTATGTAACTGCTTCAAAGTTGAAAATTGAGATTTTTTGTAGCATTTACAATGATTGAAGAATCTATATACGGAAATAACCATACAATAAACTTTACCTCTAGTTTAAAGGTATTCTTCTGAGGTGACTGCTTCATCTGTTAAAGAAACATCCAAATGTCTTTGCACTCCATCGACCTTCTTAGCAATATCATCAAAGTATGGCCATCGCCATTATTTTCCCTAAAAAGAATATATCTAGCTAATGAATGACACCAATGAAAGAACTTTGATCTTAAAATAACAATACCAGCAACAAACAGTTTATCTTACAACATAGACAAGGGAGAGAGGCAAAATGGAAAGCTTCCAGCTACATGGCAATGGCATAGTATAACTATTCAAAAAATGCTTCATCAAATTAAAGATTTTGTGGCGAAGGCTCTCCCTTGAAGCAGCTATCCTATGTAAATGTTTCTCTGTATATATATAGCATTTGGAGCTTATCAACCGACAAGAAACCTTAAAACACTTACAAAAAGACTGTTTAAATACCAAGGAATTTTTTTAGTCTTGGAACATCGTCCAGTTGTGCCTTCATTTCCAGACCAGGGAAAGGGGGTGGCAAGCTACCAGGAGTAAAATTTACCAACCAAGAAACCTTCCCCATTTAACCCACAATCAGGCCATTTCAACGTTCAGCTATTGATTTTATTGACTGACTAATAAAGGACGAAACATGTGACAGTATGAAATCTTTTGCAGGTCCACCTTAGAATATCACATTGAACGACTGTGCCATTCTCAAATGAATGCTAAGATTCCTTTACAATCCAAAACTTTTGCAGTATCATATAGTAAGAAAACAAGTAAGATTTTTTAAGATTTTCAAGTAACAAAACAAAATTTCGAAACTGAAATTGAAACGGGTTCCCCTTTCCAAAAGAAAATAACCCTCCTAGGGTATTCTCTTACCCAAAAAGCTGAAAATGAAAAATGAAAAATGAAAATGAAAAATTGTATTGACTCACTTCATCTCATTTGCAGCAGAAGCTGGCCAAACCAACAGCAGTAGCCCAATTTCAATGAATTCACTTGCATATTACTTACTTCCACTGCATCCAAAAACTGGTAGAATTTGTTTTGATCACTTTTTTTATTTCGATCTGATATCTAAAAAAATGAATGAAAAATGTCAATGTCTCGAGCTGGTTTAGTAAAGCACTATTTTATGCTGGGAAATTCTCGTAAGAATTCTCGAAACACGTGCAAAACTATTTGCACCAGATGAAAAAATTGAATCAGACAACCCCACAACTCCACTATCTGAATTGAGAAAGTAAACTCAGGTCAATATAAACAGATGCTACATAAACAGTCTTCTCTACTGGCTGCTTGTGAAACTGCTTTACGTTTCTTTGTGCAAAAGGCCTTAGAAACTTTCGTACATGACGATATCATACAAAACATGCTTATAGTCTTCAGCAGAGACAAACATGACGCTGTAATCTTATCGTCTGATCTAGGTAAGCAACGATTAAGGTTAGAGATAAATAGGCGATAAAGTGAAAATTTCTGAATAATAACTATAAAATTACATAGTTACCTCTTGAATGCAAATAAACTAGGTTAAGTGAAGTGGCACCAGAAACTGTCAGGTTAATTACACCTTTAGCTATCTTGAACGATTTTTGATAGTGCAATCTTCCAAACAGCAATATATCCCAGTTCAATGAAATTACTTCATCTGTTTTGCGATAAATAAATAAAACTAAATCACCTCTTCTCACCTCAAACGACTTTTCTAAAAGCTGTGAAATTTCTTATTTCAGAACTCTTTCAACTTTGATGTCTTCACACAGTGGCCTAACAATCTGCAGCAACTCCTGTTTAGACAGTAAAGTGGCATCATGTTGCAGATATTCATTTACCATATCTAACATATCAGCAAATTTATCAATTGGAGCTGAATAACTTCAAAAACTTCCCACTTATAATAAATCAAATTTACAGAATATTCCATAAATAAAATGATGATTTGAATTAAAAAGAAAAGCAGACCTTAGCATTGTGTATTCAATTTTGCAAGAAAAGTAAAAAAGAATAAATTTTTTTCAGTTAGAGACACCAACACTTAACTTCAACGCCATTTCATAGCAACTATCTGCACATGCATATTTCAAATAACTATGTTGCCATAAAAATTATATCAAAGCCTAAAAAGAGATGCATTATTCATCATTCATCATTCAATGTCTATTGCCATTGCCATTTTTCTAAGAAAGGGAAAGCCTTATCGAAAAGAGAGCTATTAAATAAGTCAGCTAGTGGCTCAGAGACAACGTCTATTTCCATAGCCATTTTTAAAAGAAAGGGAAAGCTTTATCGAAAAGAGAGCTATTCAATATATCAGCTAGTGGCTCAGAGACAACTTCTATTGCCATAGCCATTTTTATAAGAAAGGGAAAGCTTTATCGAAAAAAGAGCTATTAAAAAAGGCAGCTAGTGACTCAGAGACAACGTCTATTGCTATAGCCATTTTAATAAGAAATGGAAAGCTTTATCGAAAAGAGAGCTATTCAATATATCAGCTAGTGGCTCAGAGACAACTTCTATTGCCATAGCCAATTTTATAAGAAAGGGAAAGCTTTATCGAAAAAAGAGCTATTAAATAAGTCAGCTAGTGACTCAGAGACAACGTCTATTGCCATTGCCATTTTTATAAGAAAGGAAAAGCTTTATCGAAAAGAGAGCTATTAAATATATCAGCTAGTGACTCAGAGACAACGTCTATTGCCATTGCCATTTTTATAAGAAAGGAAAAGCTTTATCGAAAAGAGAGCTATTAAATAAGTCAGCTAGTGGCTCAGAGACAACGTCTATTGCCATTGCCAATTTTATAAGAAAGGGAAAGCTTTATCGAAAAGAAAGCTATTAAATAAGTCAGCTAGTGACTCAGAGACAACGTCTATTGCCATTGCCATTTTTATAAGAAAGGAAAAGCTTTATCGAAAAGAGAGCTATTAAATATGTCAGCTAGTGGCTCAGAGACAACGTCTATTGCCATTGCCATTTTTATAAGAAGGAGAAAGCTTTATCGAAAGAAAGCTATTCAATATATCAGCTAGTGGCTCAGAGACAACGTCTATTGCCATTGCCATTTTTATAAGAAGGAGAAAGCCTTATCGAAAGAAAGCTATTGAATATATCAGCTAGTGGCTCAGAGACAACGTCTATTGCCATTGCCATTTTTAAAGAAGGGAAAGCTTTATCGAAAAGAGAGCTATTAAATATATCAGCTAGTGGCTCAGAGACAACGTCTATTGCCATTGCCATTTTTATAAGAAGGAGAAAGCTTTATCGAAAGAAGCTATTAAATATGTCAGCTAGTGGCTCAAGACAGCGTCTAATGGCTAGCTTTATCGAAAAGAGAGCTATTAAATATGTCAGCTAGTGGCTCAGAGACAACATCTATTGCCATTGCCATTTTTATAAGAAGGAGAAAGCTTTATCGAAAAGAAAGCTATTCAATATATCAGCTAGTGGCTCAGAGACAGCGTCTATTGCCATTGCCATTTTTATAAGAAGGGGAAAGCTTTATCGAAAGAAAGCTATTCAATATATCAGCTAGTGGCTCAGAGACAGCGTCTATTGCCATGGCCATTTTTATAAGAAGGGGAAAGCTTTATCGAAAGAAAGCTATTCAATATATCAGCTAGTGGCTCAGAGACAACGTCTATTGCCATTGCCATTTTTATAAGAAGGAGAAAGCTTTATCGAAAAAGCTATTCAATATATCAGCTAGTGGCTCAGAGACAACATCTATTGCCATTGCCATTTTTATAAGAAGGAGAAAGCTTTATCGAAAGAAAGCTATTCAATATATCAGCTAGTGGCTCAGAGACAACGTCTATTGCCATTGCCATTTTTATAAGAAGGAGAAAGCTTTATCGAAAAGAGAGCTATTGAATATATCAGCTAGTGGCTCAGAGACAACGTCTATTGCTATAGCCATTTTTAAAAGAAGGGGAAAGCTTTATCGAAAAGAGAGCTATTGAATATATCAGCTAGTGGCTCAGAGACAACGTCTATTGCTATAGCCATTTTTTAAAGAAGGGGAAAGCTTTATCGAAAAGAGAGCTATTGAATATGTCAGCTAGTGGCTCAGAGACAACGTCTATTGCCATTGCCATTTTTATAGGAAAGGGAAAGCTTTATCGAAAAGAAAGCTATTCAATAGATCAGCTAGTGGCTCAGAGACAACGTCTATTGCCATAGCCATTTTTAAAAGAAAGGGAAAGCCTTATCGAAAAGAGAGCTATTGAATATATCAGCTAGTGGCTCAGAGACAACGTCTATTGCTATGGCCATTTTTAAAAGAAGGGGAAAGCTTTATCGAAAAGAGAGCTATTAATTATGTCAGCTAGTGGCTCAGAGACAACGTCTATTGCTATTGCCATTTTTATAAGAAGGAGAAAGCTTTATCGAAAGAAAGCTATTCAATATATCAGCTAGTGGCTCAGAGACAACGTCTATTGCCATAGCCATTTTTAAAAGAAAGGGAAAGCCTTATCGAAAAGAGAGCTATTAAATCAGTCAGCTAGTGGCTCAGAGACAGCGTCTATTGCCATTGCCATTTTTATAAGAAGGGGAAAACTTTATCGAAAAGAGAGCTATTCAATATATCAGCTAGTGGCTCAGGGACAACGTCTATTGCCATTGCCATTTTTATAAGAAGGGGAAAGCTTTATCGAAAAGAGAGCTATTAAATATGTCAGCTAGTGGCTTAGAAACAAAGTCAATTGCCATGGCTATTTTAATAAGAAAGGGAAAGCTTTATCGAAAAGAAAGCTATTAAATATATCAGCTAGTGGCTCAGAGACAACGTCTATTGCTATAGCCATTTTTATAAGAAAGGGAAAGCTTTATCGAAAAGAGAGCTATTCAATATATCAGCTAGTGGCTCAGAGACAACGTCGATTGCCATTGCCATTTTTATAAGAAGGGGAAAGCTTTATCGAAAAGAGAGCTATTGAATATATCAGCTAGTGGCTCAGAGACAAAGTCAATTGCCTTGGCCATTTTTATAAGAAATGGAAAATTTTATCGAAAAGAGAGCTTTTGAATATATCAGCTAGTGGCTCAGAGACAGCGTCTATTGCCATTGCCATTTTTATAAGAAAGGGAAAGCTTTATCGAAAAGAGAGCTATTGAATATATCAGCTAGTGGCTCAGGGACAACGTCTATTGCCATTGCCATTTTTATAGGAAAGGGAAAGCTTTATCGAAAAGAGAGCTATTGAATATATCAGCTAGTGGCTCAGAGACAACGTCTATTGCCATTGCCATTTTTATAGGAAAGGGAAAGCTTTATCAAAAAGAGAGCTATTCAATATATCAGCTAGTGGCTCAGAGATATTGTCTATTGCCATTGCCATTTTTAAAAGAAAGGGAAAGCTTTATCGAAAAGAGAGCTATTGAATATATCAGCTAGTGGCTCAGAGACAACGTCTATTGCTATAGCCATTTTTAAAAGAAAGGGAAAGCCTTATCGAAAAGAGAGCTATTGAATATATCAGCTAGTGGCTCAGAGACAACGTCTATTGCTATAGCCATTTTTAAAAGAAAGGGAAAGCCTTATCGAAAAGAGACCTATTGAATATATCAGCTAGTGGCTCAGAGACAACGTCTATTGCTATAGCCATTTTTAAAAGAAGGGGAAAGCTTTATCGAAAAGAGAGCTATTAATTATGTCAGCTAGTGGCTCAGAGACAACGTCTATTGCCATTGCCATTTTTATAAGAAGGAGAAAGCTTTATCGAAAGAAAGCTATTCAATAGATCAGCTAGTGGCTCAGAGACAACGTCTATTGCCATAGCCATTTTTAAAAAAAAGGGAAAGCCTTATCGAAAAGAGAGCTATTAAATCAGTCAGCTAGTGGCTCAGAGACAGCGTCTATTGCCATTGCCATTTTTATAAGAAGGGGAAAACTTTATCGAAAAGAGAGCTATTCAATATATCAGCTAGTGGCTCAGGGACAACGTCTATTGCCATTGCCATTTTTATAAGAAGGGGAAAGCTTTATCGAAAAGAGAGCTATTAAATATGTCAGCTAGTGGCTTAGAAACAAAGTCAATTGCCATGGCTATTTTAATAAGAAAGGGAAAGCTTTATCGAAAAGAAAGCTATTAAATATATCAGCTAGTGGCTCAGAGACAACGTCTATTGCTATAGCCATTTTTATAAGAAAGGGAAAGCTTTATCGAAAAGAGAGCTATTCAATATATCAGCTAGTGGCTCAGAGACAACGTCTATTGCCATTGCCATTTTTATAAGAAGGGGAAAGCTTTATCGAAAAGAGAGCTATTGAATATATCAGCTAGTGGCTCAGAGACAAAGTCAATTGCCTTGGCCATTTTTATAAGAAATGGAAAATTTTATCGAAAAGAGAGCTTTTGAATATATCAGCTAGTGGCTCAGAGACAGCGTCTATTGCCATTGCCATTTTTATAAGAAAGGGAAAGCTTTATCGAAAAGAGAGCTATTGAATATATCAGCTAGTGGCTCAGAGACAACGTCTATTGCCATTGCCATTTTTATAAGAAAGGGAAAGCTTTATCGAAAAGAGAGCTATTGAATATATCAGCTAGTGGCTCAGAGACAAAGTCAATTGCCATAGCCATTTTTAAAAGAAAGGGAAAGCCTTATCGAAAAGAGAGCTATTAAATCAGTCAGCTAGTGGCTCAGAGACAGCGTCTATTGCCATTGCCATTTTTATAAGAAGGGGAAAACTTTATCGAAAAGAGAGCTATTCAATATATCAGCTAGTGGCTCAGGGACAACGTCTATTGCCATTGCCATTTTTATAAGAAAGGGAAAGCTTTATCGAAAAGAGAGCTATTAAATATGTCAGCTAGTGGCTTAGAAACAAAGTCAATTGCCATGGCTATTTTAATAAGAAAGGGAAAGCTTTATCGAAAAGAAAGCTATTAAATATATCAGCTAGTGGCTCAGAGACAACGTCTATTGCCATTGCCATTTTTATAAGAAGGAGAAAGCTTTATCGAAAGAAAGCTATTGAATGTATCAGCTAGTGGCTCAGAGACAACGTCTATTGCTATAGCCATTTTTATAAGAAAGGGAAAGCTTTATCGAAAAGAGAGCTATTCAATATATCAACTAGTGGCTCAGAGACAACGTCTATTGCCATAGTCATTTTTATAAGAAGGAGAAAGCTTTATCGAAAAGAGAGCTATTGAATATATCAGCTAGTGGCTCAGAGACAACGTCAAAAATGCAATGGCAATAGACTTGTCTCTGAGCCACTAGGCTATGATATTCATATAGCTTTCTTCGATGAAAGCTTTCTCCTTCTTATAAAAATGCCATGGCAATAGACGTTGTCTCTGAGCCACTAGCTGATATATTGAATAGCTCTCTTTCGATCAAGCTTTCTCCTTCTTATAAAAATGGCAATGGCAATAGACGTATGTCTCATGAGCCACTAGCATGATATATTAATAGCTCTTCTTTCGATAAAGCTTCCCCTTCTATAAAAATGCAATGCAATAGACGTTGTCTCTGAGCCACTAGCTGATTATTTAATAGCCTCTTTTCGATAAAGCTTTCCCCTTCTTATAAAAATTGCATGGCAATAGACGTTGTCTCTGAGCCACTAGCTGACTATTTATAGCTCTCTTTTCGATAAAGCTTTCCCCTTCTATAAAAATGGCAATGGCAATAGACGCTGTCTCTGAGCCACTAGCTGATATATTGAATAGCTTTTCTTTCGATAAAAGCTTTCCCTTCTTATAAAAAATGGCCATGGCCAATAGACGCTGTCTCGAGCCACTAGCTGATAACATATTTAATAAGCTCTCTTTTCGATAAAAGCTTTCCCTTCTTATAAATAAGCAATGGCAATAGACGTTGTCTCTGAGCACTAGCTGATTATTCAATAGCTTTCTTTCTATAAAGCTTTCTCCTTCTTAATAAAAATGGCAATTGGCAATAGACGTTGTCTCTGAGCCACTAGCTGATATATTGAATACTTTCTTTCGATAAAGCTTTTCTCCTTCTTATAAAAATGGCAATGCAATAGACGTTGTCTCTGAGCCACTAGTGATATATTCAATAGCTCTTTCTTTCGATAAAGTTTCTCCTTCTTATAAAAATGGCCTATGGCAATAGATGTTGTCTCTTGAGCCACTACTATAATTGAATAGCTTCTTTTTCGATACAAGCTTTCTCCTGTCTTATAAAAATTGGCAATGCCAATA